CATGCCCAGGTTCAGGGATTCAGCATGAACTTTACTGTCCGGTTCTTTTAGTCCCGACTGTGCACTTTGCTGGGATGTCGATCGTGCTACTCACATACCTCGGCAGACGTATCTGCAGATCGTATCGCCACCCTTTACCCTCCGCCGCTGTCGTCTGGGGTAGCAAGGCGGAGGGACGCCGGCACGTCGATTATTTATTTCGTTAGCTAACTATATGGATCCATCACGCTCGGATACATGGTACTAAGCAAAAGCAACTATTGTCACTCCGGCGTGATCTACTTATGTACTATCAGCTCTCTCCTCCACGGACCCACTCGTCCTTTTCTCGCATCACAATCCCTCCCCATCGCTACCCGCCCCCTTTTGTCCGTCCCCCCACTCACGCGGTCGCGTCTGTGGACGCTCGTGAGTGTGTGTGTGTGTGTGTGTGTGTGTGTGCAAGTGTACACATCGAAAGTTCAGCCCGCCCCCCCCCCACACACACGTGCACACAGCTTACCAGCTCGTCCCAGAGGCAGTCGCGGTTCTCGACAAAGTGCTCGTTGCGCTGCTGGAAAACGCGGAGAACACCACCAGGGGGCAGCACGTGCGCACTGATGCAATCAGTGGATGGACGGGCATTGGAGGCGATCAAGAGAGAGAGAAATGGGGGGGGGGAGGGTGTAAGTAAATGCAGACTATGTACATTGGGGGTGTGCGCCTGGGTGACGAGAATGCATCAAACACACACACACACACACACACATTCACACACACACACATTCACACACACACACACACACACACATCTTCACACCTGAATTCGAGGGTTGAGATGAGGTCGTTGTCGGCGCTTGCAGTCAGCGCCCAGCCGTCAATGTCAACACTGCTCGTCTTGGACGGATTGGCGACGAGCAGACACTCCACCTTCGTGTCGACATCACGCAGCTCCAGTCTGCCGGGGCCACCACTGCTGGCATCGCTTTTGTCGCTTTCAACGGGTGCGGTGGTCGCCTGCGTCCTTGGGGCGGGCGTGCCTGCAGGCAAGGACAGCCTCGTGGGCGTTGCCTTCTTCTTCTTTGGGCGCGGCGGGCGCTGGATGGAGTTGAGCAGGCGTCGGTACTCGTCAATCTCAGCATCCAGCCACAACCTGACATCGAGAAGACGACGACGTGAGGTGTGTGTTGTGTATGCGTGTGCATGTGCGTGCGTGCGTGTGCGTGTGCATGTGTGTGTGTGTGCACGTGTGTGTGTGTGTGTGTGTTTGTGTTGCTGCGACAAATACGACGGCACACATCTCCTCCTCCCCCCCGCTTCACTCCAGCTCCCAATCTCCCACCGTTCATCGAGAAGATCGGCGTATTTCTTCTCGTTTGCGCGTATGTGCGCAGTGAGAGCAGCAATCCGCTCCTCTGGAGAGATGCAGCAGCAACACGTGGACATTGCGAAAGCGGGGTCGTGCATGTGCGAGGTGTGAAGTGATTGAAAGACGAGAACTAAAGTCCAGCATGTACAAACACATTCACACACACACACACATAAGCACGCACACACACACACACACACAAGCACGCGCACACATGAACACACACACACACACACCTTTTGCTTTGATTTCTGTCGTGTGGTGATGAACGGCATCCTTCATTGACTGGCGTATGGCAGCAACCTCTTGCTTGCATGCATCCACCGTTGCATGCAGGCTCGCGTTTGTTGTGCTCAGATCCGCCTTTTCTTTCGTCAGGGTAAACACCTGCTGCTTCAGCGCCATCCTCTCCTCCGTGAACCAAGAGCTGCTCATCGCTTGCGGTCCTGCTCACACACGTGTATGTGTGTGTATGTGTGTGTATGTGTGTGTATGTGTGTGTGTGTGTAAGTGTGTAAGTGTGTATGTGTGTGTGAGTGCTTTGGCTGCAAGCAAGCGAGCTAGCGAGTGCAACTCTGTCAAAACCTGCGATTGCATCCTGAGCAATATGCATGTGCACCAAACACATATCACCACGAGCAACACCAGCGTTATTTCCACACCTCCCGCCCCAAATCCCCAGTCACGCACCCCTGGCATGTGTTGCGTAGTACTGGCGCAGCTTGTGGCGGTAGGCGTTGGCTGCTGCTTGAAACTCCTTCTTCACCTCCGCCACAGCAGCATCAATTGTGGTGTCGGGTGCCTGCTTGCTCGCCATCGCCTTTGTGCACGCCTGCAGCTCTTCCTCAAGCGTCGTCACCTACACACGCGCACACATGCGTGAAGATGAGAGTGTGTGTGCATGTGTGTGTGTGTGCGTGTGTGTGTGTGTGTGTGTGCGTAAATGCGTGGCGAACCACTGTCGAAAGCTTTCAACGTACACAGACACAGACACAGACACACAGACACACACAGACACACACACACACACACACACACACACACACACGACCATGACTACGTGCTGCCATGTCCCCTGACCGTTGTCTCGTGGAGCGACTGCTGGTGATTGAGCTGGTGTTTCAGCGTCACCACTTCCGCCTCTGCCGCAATCACACGGCGCTGTGGTGTGGTCACGCACACACACACATGCAAGTGCAAATGTAAGTGTGCAATTGTTGTCCGTGAGCAAACGCGCTCTCGCCTTCCTCAAATAAATACGGCACACTTCCGTGACAGGTCATGCAACTACCTCGGCGGCGTGTGCGCGTGCACGTGACTCCTCCAATTCCGCGGTCATGGAAGAGATGGTCGCCTCTGTCGACGCAAGGCGGGCATCATACGCCTCCTTCTGCTTCTCCAACTCCGTGCGCAGGTCCTGCGTGCATGTGCGTTTGTGTGCATGTGAGAGATGGTGTATGTATGCGTGTGTGTGAGCGCAAAAGAAAGCGAGGTGGGATAGTGAAAGGAGGCGACACACACACACACACACACACACACACACACACACACACACACAAACACACACACCTGTTGGGTGGCAGCACATTCCTCCAGCTGATTGAGGGCCGTGTCCTTCACCTCGACGGCGTTCTCAAACTGTTTCTCAAGCTGCGATGCCAGTGACTGTAGCCTGTCAATCTACACAAAACCAACAAGGATGGCGACAGTGGTGGCGTGCTGTTGATGAAAAGGAGGCCATCAATGACACGCAATTGACCTTTGACCTGAACGCAAGCGAGTCAGCCCACTTCCACGCCACAACACACACACACACACACACACACACACACACACACACACACACACACACACACTCGTACACATTTGTACCTCTGCTTGCTGCCGTTTCACTTCCTTGCGCAGGCGCTCTTCGTTTGATTTGGATGGCGATGCCGTTGGTGTGGAAGCGACCACCGACGTCCGTCGGGATGCCTGCGCAGCGTGCGCATATGTATGTACATGAATAAAGAATAGCACGCGGTCATGTCACGCAAGTGATATGAGCATACAAGCAACGTGCACCGCAGCCCACCAAACCGCACCTGGAGTGACACGAGCGTGGAGTGTGACGAATAGAGCGCAGATGTCCGTCGAATGTACACCTCTGCAGTGCGTCCCATCGGGCCGTGAACGAGGCGTCAGCCGGTTCATTCATTCATTCGCATACACACACACACACACACACACACACACACACACACACACACACACACACACACACACACACACACACACACACACACCACTGACCAAGGTTGTCGTTGAGCTTCTCCATCTCCTCGCGCTCCTTCATCGTGTTCCGCACGGCAGCAATCGCAGCATGGCTGCTATTGTTCGCGGCATCAGCACCGCCGTCAAACGATGCCATTGCGTGCGTGTGTGTTCACTGGCGAAGCAAACACAAAACACAAACACACAAACACACACAAACTGCCTTTCTGTCTGTCTGTCGCCTCATTCTTCTCTTTGCTTGCCCCAACCAGCCTGTGTTTCGCTTTTGCGTTTGACAAGGGCAACCAACATGATGCTTGCACGTGATTGCGTCCTGGGCGCTCGGTCCTCACACACTTGCTTGCATCAGACCCATGTGAAGCCCTTCACTCGCCCACGTTGCAGCCAGCTTTCATGCTCCCAATGCATTCGCCTCATTCCGACATGCAAATGTCGTCATCGTCCTTGCTGGTCTTTTCATCAACACGCGCAAGACCAGCACACACACACACAACCATCAACAGAGGTTGTGATGCCCACCACTTCTTTCTTCCCCGAGACACAACCGTAGTGGGAGAGCGTTCGCGTGCCTCGATCTCCCATCGCCATGATGCCCATGAGACCGCCATCAAGCAAGGCGATCATGACCACCACCACCACCGATCCCAAGACACAGCCCCGCCACAACGACGACGACGACAACGATGTCAAGGGCATGGGCCTGCATGGTGCAGACGCTGGACGAGCACAAGGGTTGGCTGACTTGTTGGAAACGGCTCTGACGGCGATGCGCGCGAGATTGCCGCCCCGTTTCTTGCAGCAGCTGGCCGCCCTCGCCGTCCTCGCCACCACGGAGATCAGGACTCCCCAGAACCAGTCAGATCGGCCACAGCAGCGCCAGCACGGTGTTCACGAAGCAACATGCCTCGAGCACCCCGTGTTTCGCTTCAATGCTGACGACGCAAGCGCCCATCCCGTCGTTTTCCTTGCCCTCGTCTTCCACGCTGCGGCCGCCACCACCGCCACGGCCTGCACGCAGACGGGCGCCGGCATCCCACCGCACCTACTCCCCATTCTGCACCGCGCGCGCCTCATCCCTCTCACGCCAGATGCGGGTCGACAGGACGCCTCTGCCGATGGGCGTCAGCTTCGCCGTGTGCCCTGCTGCTTCGGCTGCGACGCACATCGCCGCCTCATGGAAACGGAGGCACATGCACACCCAGACAAGATCCAGCGCATCGTGGCCATGCCGCAATTCAAGATGACCGACAACGCGGACGAAAACGCAAGCCGGTGGAGGGCGCTCTGTCGGCCGCGCTTCCTGGCGCTGATGGCCGGCAAGGACGTGCCATCGCCGGCGCCACCTTCACGCCGACACCAGAAGCAGGCGCACCAGGGCGCTGTGCAACGGGGCGACAGCCCACAACAAGGCGACAGCCATCAGCAGCGAAAGCAGATGCGGGAATGGAAGCAGCACACACGGGCACGGAGCGACCGTAGCGATGACCTCCCGCAGCCAGATATCCATGGCGACAGCGGCTTCAGGGACAAGGTGGTGTACCGCTCGTCCACCACAATCAGCACCCTCACGGGCACCAACGACACAGGGTACCACGCGCGCGACAGCCCGACACTGGCAGCGCGTAGCAGCGATCGCGGTGGCAGGCGTGGCGGTCGTGCCCGTAAGCGCGTCAACGGTGGTGACCGTCAGCGCCGGGGTGGTGACGGCATTGTCGAGGTTGCCGTTGCCCGCGTCATGACGTGGTGGTACGAAGACCTGCAGCAGACGCACGGCATCAAGAGCACGGGCCGGCACCCGCACGAGTCCATCCTGCACGGCTATACGGGGGCGCACACGCCGGAGGTGCGCCGGGAGAAGCGGGAGATTGCGCAGCGCCTGTGCTACAGGGTGTTTGGCTACACGGCCGGCGAGGTGATACCCTTTGAAGCAGATACTCCGGGCCTGAACGAGTTCATCGCGTGCGTGGTGGCCATGGACATGCTTGGGCCCTGGCTCACCGAGGTGCACCTGCTGCACGTGTGCGCGTGCTTGCATGCGTGCATTCCGCTCACCCATCACGGTGCGGGGGACGCCACCACGTGCATGGCCGACCTGTACGCCACGTGCGTGCGCATCTGCGACGAGGACCTACCCTTCCTGCAGGTGCTACCGCGGGCTTGTCTCAAGAAGAACATGCGACGTATCGTGGAGAGCGGGTGCCACACCGCCGCCCACGTGCACGGGCACATGGCTGCCCAGCGCCCGCACGTGTTCCTGACATACGTGTGGCGGCGGTGGGTTGAAGAACACACCGCGCTCAGGTGCTCGGACACGTTCACACTCAAGGACTGGATGGACGCGCTTGCGGCGACAACCAGAAGCCTAAGCAGCCTCCTCGACAGGATTGACAGCATATTCCCGCGCTTTGGCGGGGTGCGAACGGACGATGAGCAGCGGCGGCTTGAGCGCAGGGCATGGCGCAACATCACGTATGCCCGCGTGTACATGGGCATGCGTCTCATCACCGCCAGCACCATCCACGCCATGCTGATGCGCGAAGGGGTTGATGTCGATGCAATTTCGCTTCGTGCGCTCGTGCCGTGCATGATGAGCAGGCCACCATCACCATCACCATCGTTGCATCGTCGCCACCGCCTTTACGGTGGCGCCCGCACCCAACACCACCACGTGCACGACTACGACCGGGACTACAATAGTGGTGGTCGTGGTGGTGTCTTTGGTGATGATGGCAGCAGCGACAGCGGGCACATGGATGATGACGGTAACAATGGTGATGATGATGACGACGACGACGATGATGATTTGTATGGGGATGATGATTTGTATGGGGATGATGAGCCTGGTGACGTGTGTCG